GGGGGGCCCCCGGGTAAGGACAGGCCTGGGGGGGGGGGGGGGGGACGTGGGGTGGGGGTCACCTGTCCAGCTCGTCGTCCAGGGGCTCGTAGGTGGCTTTGTAGCACTCGATGCGCTTCAGGAAATCGGCCACGGCCTCGTCCTGCCCGCGGCCCTTGTAGTCGGGGCTGCTCAGCTTCACTTGCTGGGAATCGGGGGCGGCGCGGCTTTGGGGGGGCACACGCGGCTTACCCACCCCCCCCAGCCCCCGCTGTCACCTCCAGGCCCCAGGTGTCACCTCCAGCCCCCGCTGTCACCTCCAGGCCCCGCTGTCACCTCCCAGCCCCAGCTGTCATCTCCAGGCCACTGTTTTCACCTCCAGGTCCCTGTTGTCACCTCCCAGCCCCAGCTGTCACTTCCATGTCCCTGTTGTCACGTCCATGTCCCAGTTGTCACCTTCCAGCCCCTGTTGTCACCTTCAGGCCCCAGTTGTCACCTCCAGGTCCTTTTTGTCATCTCCATGTCCCTGTTGTCACCTCCCAGCCCCAGCTGTCACCTCCATGTCCCTGTTGTCCCCTCCCAGCCCCAGCTGTCACCTCCATGTCCCTGTTGTCACCTCCCTGCCCCAGCTGTTACTTCCAGGTCCTTGTTGTCACCTTCAGGTCTCAGCTGTCACCTCCAGGCCTCAATTGTCACCTCCAGGTCCCTGTTGTCACCTCCAGGTCCCTGTTGTCACCTCCAGGTCCCTGTTGTCACCTCCCAGCCCCAGCTGTCATTTCCATGTCCCCGCTGTCACCTCCAGGTCCCCGTTGTCACCTCCAGGTCCCCGTTGTCACCTCCCAGCCCCAACTGTCACCTCCAGGTCCCCGTTGTCACCTCCAGGTCCCAGTTGTCACTTCCAAGCCCCAAATTGTCACCTCCAGGTCCTTTTTGTCACCTTCAGGCCCCAGTTGTCACCTCCAGGTCCTTTTTGTCACCTCCGGGTCCCTGTTGTCCCCTCCCAGCCCCAGCTGTCACCTCCATGTCCCTGTTGTCACCTCCCCACCCCAGCTGTTACTTCCAGGTCCTTGTTGTCACCTCCAGATCTCAGCTGTCACCTCCAGGCCTCAATTGTCACCTCCAGGTCCCCATTGTCACCTCCCAGCCCCAGCTGTCACTTCCAGATCCCCGTTGTCACCTTCGGGTCCCTGTTGTCACCTCCAGGTCCCACCTGTCATCTGTAAGCTTCAATTGTCACCTCCCAGCCCCAGCTGTCATTTCCATGTCCCCGCTGTCACCTCCAGGTCCCCGTTGTCACCTCCAGGTCCCCGTTGTCACCTCCCAGCCCCAACTGTCACCTCCAGGTCCCCGTTGTCACCTCCAGGTCCCAGTTGTCACTTCCAAGCCCCAAATTGTCACCTCCAGGTCCTTTTTGTCACCTCCAGGTCCCCGTTGTCACCTCCAGGTCCCCGTTGTCACCTCCCAGCCCCAACTGTCACCTCCAGGTCCCCGTTGTCACCTCCAGGTCCCAGTTGTCACTTCCAAGCCCCAAATTGTCACCTCCAGGTCCTTTTTGTCACCTTCAGGCCCCAGTTGTCACCTCCAGGTCCTTTTTGTCACCTCCGGGTCCCTGTTGTCCCCTCCCAGCCCCAGCTGTCACCTCCATGTCCCTGTTGTCACCTCCCCACCCCAGCTGTTACTTCCAGGTCCTTGTTGTCACCTCCAGATCTCAGCTGTCACCTCCAGGCCTCAATTGTCACCTCCAGGTCCCCATTGTCACCTCCCAGCCCCAGCTGTCACTTCCAGATCCCCGTTGTCACCTTCGGGTCCCTGTTGTCACCTCCAGGTCCCACCTGTCATCTGTAAGCTTCAATTGTCACCTCCCAGCCCCAGCTGTCATTTCCATGTCCCCGCTGTCACCTCCAGGTCCCCGTTGTCACCTCCAGGTCCCCGTTGTCACCTCC